ATTGATCAGATGTTGAGGGATATATTTAAGGCTGAGGGATACAAGATTATTATTTTATTTGTTTTCATTTTAAAGCTATGTATAGGGCAAATTAAGTTATTACTGCAATGTTCAACTGCAGCTGGTGGGCATAAACTCTCTCACCCGCCAACAATGCCTAGAGCAAGGGTGTGTAAACTCCGCCCTCCAGCTGTTGTGGAACTACAAATCCCATGAGGCATTGCTAGATTCTCACAACTACAGGCATAACACCCTCAGGCTGATTAATTCATGGGATTTGTAGTTTCGCTACAGCTGGAGGGCTGGAGTTGGCCACCCCTGGCCTAGAGCTATGAATGCCAGCGGGTGACTTCACTGCTCTAAGTGATTCAGGCCTGGAGGGCAATGGGGAGGCGACATTTAAAGTTGGCTTATTGATAAAGTCTTTACTTCTTCTTTAATGTATTTTTAAATGCAGCTGGACCTGAACTGAGCTTGTTATGAGCCTCCTTTAGTCCCCAGCAGTACCATCTCAGGGGGGCTTTGCAGGATCTGTGGTAAGCTCTGCCATAGAGCCCACCACAGATCCTGCAAAGCCCCCCTGAGACCCTGCAGAACCCACCACAGATCATTCACACCCCCCTCCTCGAGACTCTGCAGACCCATGCAGGATGTGTGGTGGGCTTTGCCCACCATAGTCCCTACAGAGCCCACCATAGATCCTGCAGCACAGCCCACCCGAGACTCTCAGGGTGGCTGTGCAGAATCCATGCTGGGCTCTGCAGGATCCCTTTAGCAGCAGTGTGATCCTCTTACCTGCTGCTTGGTCCCCGGCCTCCTCCACCGCTGGACTGGTGCTGCAGGACCCGGCCTCCTCCGCAGCCCGACGGCTCATGGGTGACCGCCTTCCTATGGTGTGACAGCACCCTGGCCCCGCCCCTTCCTCATTCGATGTTATCCCGGCCTCACCCTGCCCCCTCCTGCTGCTCCACCTCGCCCCCTCCTGCTTCTCTGTCTCCTCTGCCGCTTCCGCCTCCTCCACCGCCACCTTGTCCGCTCGGCTGCCTAACTGTTTTGGGGGTGGCATTTTTGCTGCCCCCCTAAAAACTGCCGCCCAAGGCAAACGCCTTGTTTGCCTCGCGGCAGATACTCCCCTGGTCCCCAGTATAGTAGACTTGGATAGGCAGGGCTAGCAAAAGGGGCCAATCAGGTTGAACCACAGTGCACATATGATGACAAAGAACAGGAGAAGATAGAAAAGTGAGCAGTTATGTGACCAAGCTGTATTACTCACCTGCATAGTGAAAAGTCAGGTCACTGACCTGGCTGTGTTGTCTGGCAGGAATGTTTAAATCTTAGGACTAGCTGAACAGAAATACAAAGCAGGACTAGCTGAACAGAAATACAAAGCTTTTGGCAGGTAAGGACTCAGGGACGTAATTAAAGCCTCATATCTGCGCTGGCAGAAAGATCCAACATAAAAGATGCATCTAATGGCACGTAAAGCATTTGCACTAATGTGTATATAGCGTTTAGAAGCATGCATGCGCAAATTCATTCTAGTGGCTACAATATTCATGGATTCCAGTCACCAGAATGGCAATTATAGAGCTTCATAGAGCTCTTAGAATACCCAAACAACAATTTTCAATTCCTCATTCAATTTTTAATTTGAAGTTTGTTGGGGCGTGGTGCCGGCAAGGCCACCCACAGTTAGGATGGCTAATGTAAGGGGCTGATTGGCAAACTCAAGATCAACCCGTGCTGGTCACGTTATGGGGTCTGCCATACAGCATCACTCTTGTGTCTCCAGCTCTCCCCTTGGTGCAAGTTCAGTATTTTTAGCTGGCAGAACCAGGCTGTGGTGAGTGTGTCAGTGTTGTCTCTGCATGTTACACCGAGCAGAGAATTCATTCATAATTCCTACAGTGCTAGAGAATGAGTCATAGAATGTGTTCACTGCACAGATCCTCTGCCGTCTTCATTCAACACTACCATATGTTACTGTCCCAATTGCTGGAGACAACCGTCCGGAACACTTGTATTATGATCAGGCCGAGAGGAAGAAATGTCCCCGGGGGAATGACACAGGAAATGCTGCTGGCTAATGTACAGTGTGTGCACAATGTGATACTCACCTCCATCACATCCCATCTACTTCCTGTCCAGTCTGCCAATAAATAGGTCTCCTTACTAATATCTATCTATCTATCTATCTATCTATCTATCTATCTATCTATCTATCTATGATCTATCTATCTATCTATCTATCTATCTATCTATCTATCTAACTGTCTAGCTTTCTACTATCTATCTATCTATCTATCTATCTATTCGTATGTCTATGATCTGTCTATCTATCTGTGATCTATCTATCTATCTGTGATCTATCTATCTATCTATCTATCTATCTATCTATCTATCTATCTATCTATCTATCTGTGATCTATCTATCTATCTATCTATCTATCTATCTATCTATCTATCTATATCACACATACTGTATGTTTGTATGTATACCGGAACATAACAAGGTGAAGAAAGCACAAAGAGCTTAAATATATAATACCTTAACTTTGTGAGCAACAGGAGTCCATGAACCTGGAATGCCGAAAAAGACACAGAGGTTGATTTACTAAAGACTAATAAACTGTTCAGTGTGCAAGGGGATTTTCACATTTCTTTTTTCATTTACTTCTTGTTGGGTATACAACCTGGCCAGAAAGAAGAGGGGGAGTATGAAGTTCCAATTAGAGAGAGAGTGGCTGAAAGCAAACATCTTCTGCTGCGTTCTCTCTTTAGAAACCCCATAATTCTCTGTGACACCAGTGTCATGGATGCATCCTGTATTCAATGTTCTTTATACATGACATTTGTTTGTAAACAACAAACAAGGATAAAATATACATGTTTATGTAGTAAGAAACGTCCCATTTCACTTGTATATCCTCAGGCCCAAGAATCCACCCCCTTGTCCAATAGATTTCCTTTCTACTGATGACAGTTTCCTAAAGCTATTTGAAAGTGGAAAGAAAGCACTGGACCCTTGTGGGTATTCTCTTGGTGTTTCTCTTCCAATAATGGCAAAGTGTTGTGGAGATGGGTGATCTGGCAGTTTCTACAAGCCAAAGGATCTCCACAGTATCATTGCCTCGACAGCAGAAAAAGGAATTGAAGTGCCAGACTTCTTCTGTACACGGGAGGTGGGCTCCTTCTTCGTATTGGCTGTCCAGGAGTCTGCAGGAAATGGTGTCAGCACAAAAGAATAGATGGGAACTAGCTGGTGTGTTGAAATCTGCAGAGCTCGATTACTGGTTCCTTGCACCCAGACAAAGCGCCAATGAGGGACCCAGACGGGGCCAACTTAGTTAAGTGCAGGGCCGGATTTCCCACAAGGCCAACCGAGGCCCGGCCTTGGGGCAGCAGGGAGTAAAGGGGCAGTAGGGGTGTGGAATTCCTATCTCCCGACGCCCGGGACATGCAGTTCTGAGCAGCGGGCGGGTAGTTGTTTTCTACATTTAGCTCTGCTTTGGGCAAGTAGTGCTAAATGTACAGCGGGGAAGCCAGCGCTTGTTTTGTACAAGTGATCTCGGCGATGTCTCTGAGATCACTTGTATGCAGCCTGCATACGGCATTGGGGCAGCAGAGAAAGTAAAACCGGCCCTGGTTAAGTATTAAACACCCCACAAGGTAACCAAAAAACATTTGCCCCGAGGTGGACTTTAAGCCTTGCAGGCACTCCAATTGCAAGATCTCCGCATCTCTACCAAGGCAATATCACTTTTTTAAATCTATATAATGGAGAATTCATCAGGAGAGGGGAAAACACCTGTTCTACAGATGGAGGGCGGGATCACAGCCAGGACTGCGGCAGTAAATCTGTCTGCCATCATCCCCCATATAGGAAGTTAGAGGATGATCAGCTACAACTCCTTGGCTCCCCAAGCTCTACTTTATTATAGCCGTCCTGTCCATGTTTTGACATCAGATTTTGCTGGAAGCTATTCATCATTGTAAAACAACAAAGTAACAAAGAACACCATTGACTGAATGGAAAATTTCTTTCAGAATGGATTCATATCACTCCAGAGGATTGTGAAAGCAAGATATTAATGAGTAGATATAGTTCTCAGCTTCCTGTTTCTGCACGTAGCAGATTGTACATTGCTGCAAGGTAAACGTTCCAGCTCATTCTCCATTGTTCTTCATTCAGCGAGCGGACTACTGTGTTGTCATTGTCACATCAATGTCAGCAAACCAATATAGAAGCACTCTGGTCCAAACAAAAACATTTCTATGGCTTCAATTAGTAGGGCAGTTTGTAAATATAACACTCCAAGCCATTTTCCTTAAAGCGAAATTCCACTTAAAAAAATAAAAAAGAATATAACATACAATATCTCATTGGTACAAAAGCCATTTGATTTTAATTTGATTTAATTTAATATTTTTTAAACATGATCTTTACATTAAAAACTGCAGCCACTGTCATCTTTTAATACTATTAGAAAAATGAAGTGCAATATGGCAACCTTTAGGTGTGGTATACAGAGCTGGTGTGCAGAACGCCCCCAGAAATGTCACTTGCTGCTTCTGTGATTGATGGACTGATTTTCCTAGAGGTCTGCACAAAGACACAAGTATCATTTTTGTATTCCTTTGCAATAGTAATGTAATTTTTGTGAGATATTCCCTAAGGCCTCATTCACACGAGAAAAGGCCGGCGTGTATAGCTCTGGTGCTGCGTGCACGGCCATATCAGGCAGCTCCCAGGTGCTGCGTGTGATTAGTACGCAGCCCTGTCCTCCTCTATGGGAGTACGCGGCCATACGCCGCCCTACGCTCACCCCAAGTGCAGGTCAGTGCGGGTGTCCCGGCTCAGACACAGACAGGATCCATCCTCTCAGCGTACGAGTACGGACACCCGCACGGATAGAGAAGGACGGGGGCTGTGTACTAATCACACGCAGCAACTGTCCTTCCCGGGAGCTGCCTGATACGGCCGTGCACACAGCACGGAGCTGTAGGTGCCGGCCTTTTCTTGTGTGACTGAGGCCTAAGGTTATTTACTTCTAAAGTGATGCCTGCAATTCAGCTTTCCTCATTAGAACACATGAAGTCCACCAGCTGATTATAATGAACCCAGACCCGCCCATTCAGGAATCAGTTCGGATAGGACATGCTGCAACAAACTCCTATTTCTATTGAACAGAAACAGAATTTGCAACAACGTTTGGTTGAAATCCTTACAATGTGCACAGGTCACCCAGAGGGCATTGATTTTGTTATCAACAAAAGTGGAGTTACGCTTTAAAGTCCAATTCCGGGCCCCATGCTTCCTCCTGGAATCATCCCTCCTTCTGCCCCCCATTGGATGTAAGTTATGTTTTTTATGTTTTAATACTTTTGTAAAGGCTTCAGGCCGGTCATGTGACACAGCAGGGTTCTCTTCCTCTTCTCCAGGCTGAGCCTCACATTGTGTGTTCACTGTGGATGAAGGGAGACATGGTGACACCCCCTTGTGATGTAGGCCCATGGCACCCTGCATTTACAGCAGACTCCTCGGTCCTTTAGGATGAATGACACTGGGCATCTTCGGGACAGAAAAAGTAGCTTTTGTTCTAAAAGTGTATTGAGGTTGTGTTATGTGGCTAGTTTGGATGTAATCAGGGATTATCCGAGTTCCTTCTTAAAGCTGAACTCCGGCCTTCCCTTCAGTCTTGCACAGTTGTAGCAGCTCCTCTCCTGGACTGAAATTGTTTCCTCTGATTTCACTGCACACTGTGAGCTTCTTAAAATGTGCATTAGAAGATGCAGCAAGACAGATAGAGCCTGTACCATTTCAACGCCCAGCATCATCTAGCACTTTCTTCCGTAGCCTGACTGTGCCTGGCCCGCCCCTTTTATTTACTAGATATTAGTTTCAACCATGGAGGCTCAGCACCACATGGGGGTGTTACCTAAGGTGGTCTGTATCCAAATGAATCCTGCTTAGGAATTGCCACTCCTTCAGACTGATACTCAGCCATCAAGGCACTTTGATATTTGCATAATTGTTCCCAAGGGTCAGCCCACTGCTTGCATCAGAGCTGAAGGCTTTTGAGAAGAATTCTGAGGTAGGGTGCTGTGTTTTCACAGAGCTATGCACAGCCCCTGCCAGCCACTCACAACAGCCATGATCTGCCTGCTCACCGGGTCTACACTAAGGTATGCAATGAAAACAGAAAGGATTTATTGAATAGTTTTATTAGCACGTTGATGAGGGGAGTAAGAATTAGCCGGGGAAGGCAAAATATAAGCAGATGAAACTGCAGCTTTCAGAGTTGTCACTGTAGCAAGAATCAAGAGAAAAACTTTCAATGGGGACACAGTGTAAGAGGGAATTTCCCTCTTTTTCTTTATTGTCTCTTTTTATGTTGTATCTACAGGACAGGAAGTGAAGGACAATCTCTCCAAGGACAACAATAAAAAAGTGACAGGAGTTTTATCCATTCCCTATTCTATCCAAAACAAACCAAAAAAGTGTTGGCTTTGGATATACTTAGCGCTGCTTCGGAGTTTCTTATGTCTTCTGTGATGGAGTTTTAGGATTCCATTCCGGCTTTGCTCATTGTTACAAAATTGTTTCCTTTTCATGCCGGTTATATAACAGTCTGTGCTCTATCCATGTGCTTGTTCTAAGGATAGCTCACATGTTACCACACAGAAAGGCCGGATTAAGAAGTTACATTCCTGATCTGCCATCCTTAGAGCCATGACTTTGTGTTTCCGAAGAGCACCCATGGTAATCTCTGCCATTTAATCATGCATTAAAGCAATTTGTTTATCAATCCCACTAAGAAGAATTCAGCACTCGCCATGCCATGAGAATCAGAAACTCCCACCCTACCTTTCCTTCCTGTTTTGGAAGCCATAACATATAATTGATTGGCACATTATGAATGTATTTCCGTGGGGTGAAGCAAAAGTCTAAATGCATGCTGTTAAGCTTATTGAAAAAGCAGCTACAACAGGCGTGCTAATTGGGGGCATCCTGGGCCATACGTGGACCTTCTGATGCTATTGGTCCTTAACCCCTTACCGCTAAGCCTTTAAAAGTACCTTAGCGATGGTAGGTGAGGATGGGATCCTGATCATGTGATTGCTGTGATTGGCCAGTCACAGTGATCACATGATCAGGAGTCTGTCCCCGGCTCCCGATCATAAACATTGATTGAGAGCTGTTAGAGCATGGTCATTGTGCTTGTAGCATGCAGAACAGTGGACACATATAAGGCACATACACAGATCAGCCATGACATTATGAACACCCGCCTAATATTGAGTAGGTATTTGCAAATTCAATCATCTGAGTGCATTGCCCGGAGTTCTGCTTTAACATCTACTAATATTTTCATCAAGCTGGTCTCTTTTGCATGTTTATCTAAAAAAAGCATTCTAAAGCATGTTCTCTTTAGTGAATAAGCCTGAGGGTCTCTGCTTTCCCTGCTCCTAGATATCATGCACACATTGAATACATTCCTGCATTTATTATATAGTCTTGTAAAGCGTTCATGAATTGCACAGTTTGCAGTGATTTTCTGCGGTGTTTATGTAGGAAATATTCACGCTCGTAAACAGATTAGTTAGTTCTGTTTGCTCACTGTGGAATCACAGATTCATTGCCAACTCAAACAGAACACAAGCAGCGCAGTTCTGATAACCAAATCAGAAGGGTGAGTGAAAACAAGCCACACAATGCAACTGTATAAACAATACATAGACTGCACAAAGTTACAGCTGGTCAGCTCTGGCTTCCACCACATCAACTGTTTTTATTTATTTTATCATGAGGCTCTGTGACTATGTGGGAGCTCCAAGGGGTTGTTTGTTCACTTTTAGTCTAGGGCTGTATTTACCATGGAACACTTGTAGACCAGACCCTAGGTATTTGAAGAGGAATTTAATGGGGGGATAGGGTGGCAGGTATGCACAGTTTACTTGTACATGGCACACTTACCTGCCTCTGGATGTTTTCTTCTCCAGCGATGTAAGGTCTGATGTTCCTTACCTCCAGTCCGTCGCTGCCCCTGCTATCTTCTTCTCAGTGCAGCAATGTTAGGTCCAAGCTTCCCTCTTCCTAGCCATCTCTTCCCCTGCCATCTTCTTCTGGGTCCAGCAATGTAAGTTCCATGCTCAACACCCCCACTCCTTCTCTTCCCCTTTATCTTCTCCTGGGTCCAGCAATGTAAGGTCCAAGCTTCCCTCCTCAATTTCCTCTCTGCCCCTGCCAGCTTCTTCTGGGTCCCACAATGGGAGGTCTATGCTTCCTGCCTCCACTCCCTCTCTGCTCCTGCCGTCTTCTTCTGGGTCCAGTGATGTATGGTCAAACCAAACGCCTCCACTCCCACTCTGCTCTTGCTATCTTCTTCTAGGTCCAGCCATGTGAGGTCCAACCTTCCAGCCTCCACTCCCTCTTTACCCCTGCTATCTTCTTCTGGGTCCAGCAAAGTTAGGTCCAAGCTTTACGCCTCCTCTCTGTTTCTTCCCCTGCCATCTTCTTTTGGGTCTAGTGATGTGAGTTCCATGCTCCCCGCCTCCACTCAATCTCTGGACCTGCTATCTTCTTCTGGGTCCAGCGATGTGAGGTCCAAGCTCCTTGCCTCCACTGTCTCTACCCTTGCCATCTTCTTCTTGGTCAAGTGATGTGAGGTTTAAGATCCCCATTAGTTCAGTTAGATAGAGTAGGGAAGGGTGGGGTACTGTGGAGATCACCTAGAAGCAATCTGTACTTTGCCCAGGCACATACCTTTTGAGTTTTGGAACTTGAGAAAGAAGGATAGCTTGGGATGGAGAAGACATGCTGTATGGTCTTAAAGGGGACTTGGCTAAATTGTGCTAAATATTCGGTGGGGCTTAAAGGAGCATGGTTAAAAAGAGAGTGAGCCTATGTATTGCATACACTGTACACAATCTGCAATCCTTGTACCCACAAAATGCTCCTTAATTACTGTGCTATGAGTGAGAGGCTCACTTACAGAAACTTAAAGGATCCATTTATGCAAAACTACATAGCACCGATCAACTGTTTAGTAAATAAACTCATTGGTTATGGCTAAGTAGTATGTAACATAGCGTATAGAGTGCAGAGAACTGCACATAGAGGGTGAACGTCAGGATAATGCAATGTACAACACAGTGTACAGAGTGCAGCAGTAAGGAGTATGCACCATAGGATGCTTTATAGGCATAAATGCCCTAGTGTCAGTTGTGAGGGGGAGACGACAGTGCTGTGGGGTCAGTGGCCTCTGGGAAGAAAAAAAGGCCCGGGTATCATTGGGAGGAAGTATGTAACTGACTCCCCTTCCTCTTATTGTGACAGCGCTGGTGCATGGCAACTGGCCAAGTGCTATGGCATAAAGGGGAAGTGAGTCCTCAGTCCTGTGTAAGCTCTGACTTCATTAACTCAGAGCTTACACAGGGCTTCCTTTCTTCACACTAAGCACCTGAATGGCAGGGGAACAAAAGAAAGGCGATTATTCCTGCTTTGGACATGAGGACACAAAAGTTAACTTGTTGCTTTGCTGCGAGTGGGCAAAGCACATGTTTATTGTATGGCTATGCTTTACTGACATGTATAATGGTCAGTATTATTATACACCCTGGAGATACTCTATGCTTTTGTCTGTTATCATTTTCCTATCAAATACAAGGCCGCATTTTGTTGAAAACCAGTATACTTATCCTGGTTTGTTAGCTTTGTGAACCGAGCCTCTGAAGTGTTAAATATATTCTAAAGGTTTTGTTATTCTGGGATTTAACTAAAAGGCACTATGCACCACCTAAAAGGAAGGAGGCTTGTTGCAGCTAATATGCTACTAACAAGTCACCAGAGAGCTCACACCGTATTAAGTGCTGTCCATAGAGACCATAATAACACGTTAGAGAGCGAGAGAAAGTGGCTCCCACTGGGGTATGTTTATTAATATTATGGCCAGTCTTAGGGAGGTATTCCTGGAAAGGGTTGTCTTGGGACAATATAGTGTAAAAGCAATGTACAGCTCAGTGCTTCTCCATATAATCAATTTTTTTCTGTTAAGGAGCAAAACACATTTTTTAGTTTTCTAAATGTCTCCTGTAGTCAGGCAAACAAAATGCTGCATATAAATATTTAATATTTATCATATTGCAACCCAGGTGAACGTGAGTCATACTCCAGGGTTCCAGATAGCTGGTGTATTGCTGTACTGTCTGCAGGTGCAGCAAAGCTAGTGCTGGGCTTTATATATAGGGAGTCCAGCGCTGAACCACTCTGTATTAAATGTACATTTGTAAAATAAAGAGTTTGTTTTATAAATAATAGAAGAAATGTAAATACACAGTTGATAAATGTATTTAATTTTAAGAATTTACATTAAATTGAAAATTAGATGGACAGTCTTAAAAGCCAAACCATTTTTGGGCTTTATTTGTCCTTTGGATCACAGAAGTATATTTACCAACGTCCTCATGTGACCCAAAGTCAGCAGATAGCGGGCTAAGGCCCGCTATCTGCTGACAGTGCAGAGACGCGCTGCAGCCGGGATGATTTCTGACCATTTTTTTTGGCATCCACCCTGTTACCTGATTGACAGCTGGCTCTGCACCTCTAGAGTCAGAGCCTGCTGTGCCCGCCCCCTCCTGTGTCTTTCCCTCCAATAAGAGTGCTGGATTAACAGAGAGGGGAGGAGGGAATCCCTGTAATGAGTATTGACTGACAGTCACTTCTCTCTGCAGGTAAGCAATTACATCAGGACTGTAACTATAGATCACGGGACCCCATAGCAAAAATGTAATGGGCCCCCCCTGATGACCTCTCTTTGAGCTGTGGGTAACAATGCCAAGATCCTAAAGACTCCTCTTGTGCATCTGAAGTCGCCTCTACACTGTAGACTTTACAGAGGATTACAGCTGTTGTCAATTGCTACAGCTCCAACTCAGCAAACCTAATGGGGCCCCCTTCCAACCCCAGGCCCCATAGCAGCTGCCTAGGCTACTATGGCTATAGTTAAGCCCCTGGATTACATAATCGCTCACCCTTTGGTATATAGAGCCCATGTGTGACAGCTGCAGTGTCCCACACCAGCTCTACGTTGAGGGAAGAGTACAGTATATTTTACTTCTCCTTTAAGTCCCTATTCAACAGTTATTATAAAATAATAAGCACCATATAAAGTAAATGTTACTGACAACCTAAATGAAGATATTAACTAGGGATGCACCGATACCGGTTTCTCGGTATCGAGTATGAGTACCGATATATTGTTTTCCGGTACTCGCCGATAATCAATACCGATACCGGAAGTCCCATTAAGAAGCCAGGTGGCAAGTCATTACACGCCGCCTGGCTTCCTAATGGGACTTCCGGTATCGGTATTAATTATCGGCGAGTACCGGAAAAAAAAATATCTGGGGATCCGGGCGGCGTGTAAAGACTCGCCACCCGGCTTTCTGATTATCAGGGAAGCCAGCTCCATGCTCCCTCATCACCAGGTGATGAGGAAACATGAAGCCGGCTTTCTGGCCAATCAGTAAGCCGGGCGGCAGGTAATGACTCGCTGCCTGGCTTCCTGATTGGCCAGCTTCACAACCAATCAGGAAACTAGGCAGTGAGTCAATACACTGCGCCCGGGAAGCCAGCTCCATGCTTCCTCATCACCAGGTGATGAGGGAGCATGAAGCAGGCTTCCCAGCCAATCAGGAAGCCAGGCAGCATGTAATGACTCGCTGCCCGGCTTCCTGATACTGGAAGTTCGGGTATCAGGCTAGGCATTGGAGCACTTATACTCGATATCGGCTCTGATACTAGTATCAGTATCGGTGCATCTCTAATATCAACAGCAAAATATATGCAAGAAAAATAAGACATAAGAGGCATGGGAGCTAAAACCATATGAGCTTACAATCTATACATTTAATGATAATTAATCATAATAATAGTAGTAACAATAATAATAATTGAACTAGAAGCCTGTGCATGGGTCCCTGAGGGTCTGTATTGATGGGCTTCGATTGATAAATGCAGCCTGAAAAACTTCTGAGATCATTTAGAATTCATTGTAGACAAAGCTGACCTGTTAAAGCTGCTTTTGCACTCTCAGACATATCTGGATATCTGGGGAAAGAGCCCTTAAAGTGGCCATGTCACTTTAGAAAAAATAAGGAGACTTGAAGACTTTATTCTGTAGAACTGGAGTTCAAGCTTCAATAAGTAATAAAATAAGGATTTAAAATTTAAAGCTTCAGACAAGAGGTACCTGAATCAGCTCTTCACCTTAGGGACTTACTGATGTTTCTCACACTTCACGTTCAAAGCATAAACATAAATAAATGTAGAACAGTGGTGAGCATGGAAAGCAAAGCCTCTCCCTGATGGCTTCTCCCGGAGCTCCTGGTGATGGCCCACGTGTTTAATGGGAACTATGCAGGATGGGAGGGCTATACAGGGAGGGTGTCTGTTCCTCTGTGTGTCATTATACAAGAATTCCTTGGACAGAGAAACAGCAGTAGCCTAGCTACAGGATAACATGATAAATGCTTTCTGGAAAGTCTGCCTGTGTCCCAAACATTCTCAGATTAGGAGGTCTTTACCAGGAGTAGCAGAAGACAACATTTGTGTTAATGAATTATAAATGTTTTCTAAATGAATATTGCTATAAACAAACACACAATATATATATAAATATAAAGTATATGAACACCCGATTTCAAAGAACTCAGTGAACTCGCTGTTCTTATTCCATCCCCGGCTGCAATTAGTTCATACTCTGGGGGCAGGCTGCAGTGTGCTTCTCACTTCCCAAATCAATCTCCAAAAGATCAGCGTGAGTGATATCCAAACAAATTCCAAGAGAAGAAATCCAAAGTATGATACGCAACACGTACATCACCATGAGTCTCCCACACGCCAACGTCTCCCACGCGTTTCACCACCTGGGCTTACTCATAGAGGTGAAGCCCTTTAATTTACGTGCACGATATATATGTGTGAAGTACCGCCCTGTTCCACCGAAGTGGTAATTGTAGTAGTAATTCTAATAGTCTTAAGCCTTCAATAAATTATAGATCTAATTGATGCTGAAGGTAATTCTCTCAATGAAAACTGAAGGCAAAAACAGTTATGATAGTAAGCTAGTGGAAAACTACATAACGTATTATCCCTCAGCAAAAATGTCATTAAATTCAATGTAGTTTAATGGAACAGAGCGGTAAATAAAGCAAATTTAGAGGTAAGTGACATGAGTGAATCACAAGAAACACGAGCTAGAGACACTCACTCTATGTGCAACGAATAGATAGACAATACAACATTGTTTAAAAGAATTCCAACATAAAAAGATACTGTACATGAAACGGAACATATATTAGGTAAATTGTTAATTGAAATACAAGTAATGTATGCAGTATATGAAAGGGTCCATGTAAATGGTTAAATAATATGTCACCTTACATTACAAAAAATATATATATTGGACATCATCAAAATGAAGCAACTGACTGAGGCCTTTTGAGGGAAATCACTTCTCTGCTAAATGTTAATTAAAAAATCCGAAGTCTATGGGACTAGTCGGCCGTGAGGTGAAGATAGATGAGCCCTATAGAAGTCTATGGGGCTGCAATGTTCCTCCACAGCCAGGAAATACAGGACTTGCGGCGTAGGATGTAAATAAACAATGGGGCCGTGGAATTCAGATCTCCATAAGTATACATCGGTGGAGGGGGAGCATTGCATTGGATATTTCGAGGCAAAAGGACTTATCGGTCTTCGGGCCTACTCTGACAACTAGGGAGGGAGAGGATGTGTGGCCATCAGATTTCTTCCTCCCCTTAACCGAGGGACTCTTTTTGAGAGAGCCCCCAACCCAGTACTTGTTGGTCGGCTTCAGCTCACCATGAGGAGAGGAATCTGCCTGGCTTTAGCTAGGTGGACTACAGTGCTCTGCCTCCTCAGGAGTCTTGCTCAAGGAAGTGCCCATTCTTCTCAAGAGAAAGACCATGTTGTCACACTCTGTTCACCTTTTTTTTTTTAAGGACTTTAGCGCAGTTGCTGTGTTTCCTGGATAGCAGTAGCTGCTCCCTGATTGAATTCTGTTGCTGCTTGGAATTATAATTTAAGTGCCCCAGTTTGGCCTCAGTAATTGACCTGTTCATTTGAAGCTACAGCTTTCTATCAGCGGCTGGCTGGTTTACCAGCATACAATCTTATTATAGAACATTTACTGTACATATTTCTATATATTTCGTTTTTCTTATTTTTGATTGAGTCTCGTTCTTCTTCAATGAATTTCATCCTTGTCATGGCTTAGTGTGTTCCATTTTCCTTTTATATTTATCAGATATGTATCGGTGGTTTTTATACTGTTCGTCATACATTGGTATTGTACAATCTGTTCTCAGTGTATAAATAGGAATCCAAGAACATGTTATCTTAGCTGGTTGTGTGTCTAGATATGTATTTTATTCCCCTTCAGTAACATAGCTGTGATCTCCCATACCCCAAGCAGATCAAATAATAGACTCCCACAGGATGTCATTTGCATCATTTTATATAGTAATGTTAATCATTTCATCGTTTTATGTTAAAATACTTTTTTTTGGGGGGTGAGAAAATAGATTTGAAGATACATTTATATCTTGTGTTTCACAAGAAGTTACTTTAAAGTTTGTCTAAATCCAAAGGTTGTTTTTTTTAGTTTGGAGCGGTGAGAACTTCTTGTCCCTGGAATGTGAGGGAAGATAATGAAGGGAATTTATCAAAACTGGAGCAGACAAAATCAGCTGTGCATGGCAACGAATCAGCATCTCTCTTCAGTTTGTTCAGTTAAAGGAGAACTATAGGGTCAGTGTTTTTCCCCATAGTTCTCCTAGCGTCCTCCCGTTACCCTAAGCTCAGTATACCGCGAGCTACAGCTCGCTGTATACTGAGACGCCAGAGCGGATCGTGACGTAGATGACGAGATCCGCCCAGCTGCGTGAGTGACAGCTGGCTCTGCCCATCTAGAGGCAGAGCCAGCTGTACCCGCCCCCTCCCCAGTCCGTTCCGCCAGTCAGCGCTGGCAGATCGGAGCGGGGAGAGGGGAATCCAGCCCCTCCCCCTGTCACGGCAGAGAGCCGTGACAGGATCGAGAGGCGAGCGAACCCGGTATGTGTTCGCTCACCTTCCGATCTACTGAGCCGACCTGTGACAGTCTCATTGGAAATCACTCATCTCATAGTTCTCCTTTAAGATTTGAAAATGAAAGAAAGAAGCTGATTGGTTGCAATGCACAGCTGCTCGAGATTTTGTCTGCTCCAGGTTTGATAAATTCCCTTCACTGTATTTTGCGTTGTCACCAGAACAGTAATAGAAGGGAAAATCTTCATCTAGCCTTGAAAATTGGTTGTTGTGCTGCATTTGCTGCTGTGCTGTCACAATAATTGTATAAAAATATGACACAATGCATAGTTATGGGTAATACTTATATTAATGTGAAGTGAGAATTTACATAGTTAATTTTCCTTTAAGTGACATTAAAGTCAATAATATTTTTCCCTCCCCCCATGTTAATGTTAGTACTTACCTTAAATGATGTTTCTTAATCCAATCTTCTTCTTCTTTCCTGATGTTTTCATCTGTCCCTCCAGCGGTGCTGCACTTCCTGTCCCACGGTGTCTGCATTTGGGTGCACGCCATCCTTAGACTTACCTTGTGTCTCTCCTTGTCTCCCGGCCGAACATCTGAACTGCGCATGCGCCTGCCCCATGATGCTTTGCGGCGGCCTGAGAATTTTCAGATTTTCGGACGGGAGTGCGTGGAGAAGACAAGGGTAAGTTTAAACCTCTTTTAAAGCATTTAAAAAAAAATGTTTTTGCATATATCTATTGCTTGC